AATAATAATAAATTATGCAAGTCTCAATTCTCTGACAAGTCACAAAAACTATAAATAAAATAAATATCATAATTATCCAGTTACAGAAAAAAACATTAAATAATATTATTAACTTACAAACACACAATGAAATATGAAAATGATACCTAAAAAAAAGATAAGTTTTCCTGGGCTGTCACTGAGCTTTAGAGTTGAAGGGGGAAATGCAACAAGTAGGTAGGGGAATCAAACAACTAGAGTTTTCTTTTGGTTCTATTTATATTCTGTTTTCCTTATAAAGTAAACTGAGGTCACATTCATAGTAGCTGGAAAAAATCCTGGTCACAGACCTAAACAGCTCTGGTTTTCTGATGCTAAAACTTAGGCATACCTCTAATGGTGACTGAAAGAGAGGTTTTACAGCACATTATTTTGTATTAGGAGTAGAGACTAAGATTTATCTAAACAGCCTGACCTCCCCTACCCCCTCAAAAAACGATGTGTATTATTTCCCTTTCAACAATACTCACCACTAAAGCAATTGCTATTGCCTTTGCCCCCATTGGACCCAAACCATGATGCTTAATATCAACTTCAGGTTCTTGCATGTTACGATGAAAGTATGACACTGGGATAACTCCTGAATCCCTACAAGCCTGTAAGTATGTAGCTCTTCCTGTCACATCATATTCCTCTTTGCCCTCTGGGAAAGAAAAACACCAACACTAAATATACTAACTCTACTGAACTTTGAGAAGCACACACTGTATTTACCATGGCGTACTAACAAATATACCCCAAATTTATCTTATTACCAGGACCCGACTGTTCAAACATTGGATAGTGCTATCCACTGGATAAATCACTATCCAGTGGATAAGTATTTGGGAAACCAATAATAGGGACCTTTAGCATCAGGTTTTTCGGGGGAAACGGCAAACCGCAAACCGCAAAATGTCACGTGACCACGTCCTTGCGGTCACGTTTGCAGTTTGCAGTTCACGTTTGAACCGCAGGAAGGGCTTCCAGTGGTAAGCTATTTACAGCAAGGTTTTTTGCCACAAACAATGGTACAGCCTCGCGTTTAAAGGTATGAACTAGCTTTTTGTATCCGTTTGCGATGTGTTTGTTGGATTTTTGATCTCGAATCAATGAATTATTGCTGATTTTTGGGCGATTAAAGTGATGCACTTCGACTTGATGAAAACAACATGGCGGCCATAAACAATGAACGCGTAGTTCAAGTCAATTTTATATTCCTTTCTGCCGTACTAACAATGGAACGTATTCTGTTCCAATCCAGAGTTAAATTTTTTTTTTCTATCTTGTTACTAAATTCATAACTTAACTCAGTCTCTGTCTGGTTCCTTTTTTTAACGTACCCGCATATCACTCCGCGAATATCATTTTATTTTGCTTATTTCCTTTAGACTGGGGAGCTCAGGCTTCATAAAGCCTTCTGGTTTCTTCTGGGCTCCCTTGCAACCTTACAATTCCTATATGTGTTCTTGTATTGTATTGTATTTTGCCTAAATAAAAGTGAACTGAACTGAACTGAACAAATCGAACTGAACGCCTTGCTAAAGTTTGAAATCTCGGCAACGCGAAACTGCAAACGCGTAACTGCGGTTTGCGGTTTGAGGTTTGCGGTTTACCTGATGCTAAAGGTCTCTAATATTGCGCTATCCACTGGAGAGAGATTATCCATCAGATAGCGCTATCCACCTTTTGAACAACTGGGGCCTGGAGCATAGCATCCATATATGCACATACACCTTGCCTAGTCCCTAGGCCTCATTATTATGTGCAGCCGATGCATTTCAGTTCACGTGGTGTGAGGAAGTTTTTGAGGCCTAGACAAACTCGGAGAAGTGAGACATTTTGTCTCACTTGGGGCAGAGCTTTTGGAAGCGGGCGAGCTGTCAATAACTTTTCCGTGCTGATGAAAGATGTCCAGCAGCCATGGAGAGTACAGAGGATAAAGAGTTAATCCTTTGGCCTTTCTTTTTCATTTATCTTATTAAACTAATTTGAACTTTATTTCATCTAAAAAACTATTTGTAGGCTAAGCAAAACAGCATCGCAAAAAAATTATTTGATCAAGAATCGGAAGGTAAGCTAAAGAAATAAGTTTATATTTATTCTTGGATATGAAAAGCTATCTTTCGTTTCTCTATTTTTGCTTGCTCCTATAAATTTCTCGTTACCATTTCACTTCGAAATATTTTATGTTATTTAATTTTTGGATTTGGAAGCTTATCAAACTAATCAGACTGGCTGTTGAATTTGGTCTCTAAATTTGGAACAATGTCAACAAACTACTGTTTCAAATCTTTTTATCAATAAAGAAATATCATTTTAATGGATCATTTGAAAATGAACTAAAAGACAAATTACTTGCAGTAGTATTCTTTCCGATCCAAAGTAATATTTTTGTTCTTTGATAACAGAAACCAGGTTAGTGCCGATCTTTAAGCGAAGGATATTCATGCGCAAAGTTATTTATAGATTATCTCAGTTGAACGTGGGAACTTTTAAAAAATGCAAAAATGCTCACACATGCGCACTCCAAGATTGTCTAGGCATCTCCCGGCCGTTTGTCTCGGATAAGTTACTGAAATGCATTGACCGAGAGGGCCTGGAAAGATGCCGTGCAGGGACTAGGCAACAAATACGCCTACATGTATACAGCTGAAAATATGGAAAAATAATTTTTTATCATTATTATTTTCGGAAAAAGCATTTTTGATCATTAAATCAGGATGACTTTTTTTTTTTGGTTTTGTTCAATTAGCTAACCCACGTAAAACTTATCTTCTGGTCTACTCCAGGGGGTATTTAATTTGTACAAACGACCAGTTTCCGAGAAGCAGATGTCAATTAAGACTCCTAAAACAAAAGGTGAGTATTGTATTCGTGTGCAACTGTAAAAAGAAAAGCTCACATTTGCATGCCTTTTCACGCTAAAATGTCACGATTCAAAGGATATTCACGCAAATCAAGGAAAAATGTTTATTTTTTTCGAACATAAGCTTTACCAAGTCTCTCGAATAAAAGATATTGTTTACTAAAATGAAGTCTTTATTTCTTTCATAACACTGTCAATTCTCGGGGGATCCCAATTTCTAAATCATTAATGTAGAGTCCGCCCTTCCAACATCAAAGGAAAGTTTTATTTCTCTCAAGTTATAAAACAGCACAAGAAACACACTAGCTATCAGACCTATGTATTAATGCCTCGAAATGTCTGTAGGTAAGCTTACATATAAGCACTATTTGTCTTTTTGAAGGACGTTGCACTGTAAACTTATGACAGTTTTGGCAGCTGAACCTAATAACCAAACGTTCTAATAAACAATTAGCCTTGACAGCCTCTTTCATTGACAGTTATGAATACTTAATGCTATGAATCAAACTATAGTAAGGTCTTATTTTGAAAAAGAACAATATTACTACCTACAATTCCACAAACTTTCTACTTATAGTTATACCTTCCACTTCTAAATCAGTGTCCCAGTCTTCATCGTCTTCCTTATTTTCGAAGCTGCCAAAGAAAGCATCACCTTCTGGCGATAAAGAGCCAGAAGATTCCCTTCGTAGAAGGCCAGTAGGAGGACTAAGCGCTGCCTAAAGATCGGAAAGAATAATATGATCTCTATGTTGTCAAAATAAAATTTTACAAGTCAAGAATGCGCGCATTTTATACCTTGCGAAAACCGAAGGGCGAACTCGAAGCGCTCGTGCGGTTAAGAATGATGGAATCTTTCTCCGAAGGCGACCGAATCGGAGTAGAAATTCTTTCTGATCCTTCTTCCATTCTTTGATTTCGAATTTTCCATTCAAGAACAAATCCCGTCCCAAAACATAAAGGAGTTTCTGCAACTTCAAACTATCAACCCAAGTTGAATGCTCACACTGCTGCCTCGCTTGCACGAATGCTCATTTCCTTTCTTGTTACCATAACAACTAGACAACAGTTTTAATTGATGGTGGACATAGTTGATTAATTTTTATCCCAAACAATAAGAAACCCTTTAAGGATCTATAATTGGGGTCTATTCACGAGAGCAAGGCTTTATATGAACGTGAAAATGCATAATAGTAGAAATAAAGAGTAACTGCACAAAGAGTCAGGAGCAGACTCTTGCGGATGTTGCGTGACACTTGCGTGACAATGGAAAAAGAATCTGTAACTGCCACTGCTCCCTTTAATTTTTTGGTCTTAACTTTTCATGGTTCAATGTTTCTCTTATTTTGAAAATCTAAAACCAGAGTTTCATTTCCTTTACGTTAGATGTGTTTCACACATCTTTGTCAGCACCCAAAAAGTCTAATCAGGAGCCCATGGGCTCCTGGTCTAATATATTCCTTTTCTACTAAGATGAGCTATGAGGGTGGCTAACCATGAAAAGCGGATATGGATCTACAAAACGCGAAATAAAAATATGATCTGCGCCCAGACCAGGTTACGGTTTCAATTTGCTGAGAGTAGACAAAATACAACTAGAAATTCATGGGCTTCCAAACCAAAGTAACAAGAGGTGCACTTGTTCAAAGAACATGTTTTATCAAAAAAATATAAAAAGAGTGCAAGCGCAAGCTGAAAGGTAACCAGTTTACAGGTATAGCAAGGGCTCATAAAAACAGTTAGATAAAATTTCAAACGGGAGGAAGAAATCAAATGCCATGAATAAGGAATTTTCAATGGAAATTATCTGCTTGCCTGCGTGCAGACGTCTCCTATTTCCTTTGTTACACGCGTGCAACAAAGGAAATAGGAGACGTCTGCACGCAGGCAAATTATCTGCTAGCTATTATACAAAAATTTTTATCTTTGTTTTCATTGTTTTCTTTTCGTTTTTTTCCTTTTGAACAGTGTTCGTTTTCTAGCCTGTGTACAGCCGCCCCCTCCCCTCCCGTTCCCCTTCTCCTATTTTTTACTTGCCTTTTTCCTTGAAAAATTTTGACCGTGCGGAGATTGGGTAAGAAGCAAAGCCCGCAGCTACATCTGGGAAGGTTTTGAAAAGCAACGTCACGATGAGCCAATAGAAAGCCAGTTTGCATCATAACCGAACGCCATTTTTTTTTTACTCGGACAGCCTTACATAATTTTGAGTTCGTAAAGTTGTAAAATTTTTATATCCATACAAAAATAATAATAATGCCGCGTGGTGGAAGGCGATCTAGCGGTCGCTCATCGCCTACGTTTGGTAGAGCGCCACCTCCTGCTCCTCGAGCTTCTCCGAGGCCTTCATCGAGTGTTCCTGCCGCAAGACCTGCATCAAACGTGGCTCAGCCCACACCGGCGACACCACAGCAGCCTGGACTGTTTGGACAAATGGCTTCTACTGCGGCTGGTGTAGCGATCGGTTCAACTGTGGTAAGTTGTTGATCTGATCATGAACTTTTATCTTTGGTGACATTATCAAAGATATTGTGCACGCGATATTGATAAAAGTTACGAATCTACACTTACTTTAATTTATCACTGATAAAAGTAGATCGTGGCATTTTGTAAAAAGAATTCGTTTTGAAATATTTAACACGATCGTTGACAATTTCAGACTTGTATTCTTAAGAGTAGTGTGGTGAAATTGCGAACAGGTTCTATTGTGGATGTATAGGAAGCTTCAGGGACTCGGGTCCAATCTTGTGCTTATATAATAGTCCAATCAAAAGGACTCCATTTATATACAGTCAACTCTCTTTAAGACGGACACCTTTGGGACCAGTGCTGATTGTCTTTCTTAGATTGGGAAATGTCCATCTTAAAGAGAGTCAAATAAAGGGAGTAAAGGAAGACAGGGACCAACTCTAGGTGTCCGTTTTACAGATTTGTTCATCTTATAGAGGTGGCCCTTACCTGGGGGGTACTCCCTTATCAAGTCTTATCAAGTCTTATGTGTCACTGAATCGGATATGGCTTTCAGGTTTTTGAGTCTGAAACAGTGTATACAATTTTAGGAGGGGGAGCAAGGGGATTCTCAACATGTGTTCACGAACAAGAATTACATTTCACAAGTCACGAAACAAATAATACGTTTTCATGCTTCTCAAAAATAGAGGTCGTACACAATGTCAAAAATGTGATGTTACTCCAATTATTTTTGTAAAACAGAGTGCTTCTATTATATTTTAGCAAGTTCACTAGAGTTTTACGAACCTTATGAAANCTTGAGAAAGTGCACATTCACCCGGCCCTTAATGAAACTCGCCCCCCCCCCCCCCCTTTTACTATTTGAGGTCTTTAACAGGGTGTGGTAAATTAAACTAAATACTTTATTATCAACTTCCCGTGGAGACTTTTCATGGAAATGAAACAAAATGATAATTCAATTTGGAACATAACAAAGTTAAATTATCCAGACTCATAGGAGACAAACCCAGTAGCTATTTTACAAGCATAGCCAAAGATTTGAACTCGGGACTACCAAGAACAAATCCAGCTAGCAGTTAGGGCAGGCCTTGAACTCAGGGCCGCCGTAAAACAAGTCCAGTGCTCTAACTACTCGGCCATGCTGCCTCTGAAACCAGCAGAAACCTTTATAAGAGTGTGAAAGCTGTGGGTGAGACAAAAAATTTAGCTCCATAACATTAGCTTGAAAAATTACCAATTCTGTATGCAAATTGAAACAAGGCAGGGTCATAAAATAAGGTGTCTTGTCTTGTCTTAAACAGCATACCAAAATGTGCAATTTTTGTCTTAAACAGGGTCAGTTTTTCAGGGCTTCAGCTGCCAACCTATACCCAAACCTTCTTAATTGCTATATGTTACCACTGAATGGCATGATAAGAAAGTCAGCATGTACCTATATTGGGAGTTTTTAGAAGAGATCTACCAGCTGTGCCCCTTGAATGACCTATGTTTCTTTGTAGGGTCATGCTGTTAGTGGTGCTCTGTTTGGTGGACATGGTGGGGGATCAGAGCAACCAGCTTATCAACAGAATGCTGCAGCAGCACCATACCAAAGCTATAATCAGCCAATGAGTGGACAGCAACAGCAGGGTCCATGTCAATTTGAAATGCAGCAGTTTATTGAATGTGCACAGAATCAGAGGGATATTTCTCTTTGTCAGGGGTTCAATGAGGCTCTCAGGCAATGTAAATTGGCAAATGGTAAGAAACATTTCAATTAAGTCACATTTGAGACTAATCGGCATGTTAGCTTTAGTGCAGAGACACCAATTTTCAATGCAATTTAAGACAAAGAGTTCGAGAGGTGCTAATGATAGTCAGGCATCAAATAACGTCCAACTATAATATTGACCCATGTTTGATGAAATCTTTACTGTGTTAAATTCAGACAGGATGTCCAGACAAAGTGAACACTAAAGGGTATCAAATTGCAGCTGAATAAATTTTGCTTTGAGAGCATGTTAATTGTGGTCCCTACAAAATAACAGTTTCACTGTGGTTATATCACAGTTGAACTAAATTTCAAATTTCGTTTACTGGCTTTTGTGGAAAACATTTTTGTAGCTTGTGAGAGCTTTTATCTTTCCTCTCCCTCTCCTTCTGCACCCTCTGTCCTTTACCCAAGTTAACCAACCCAAATATCCCATATGATAAAGTCTTAAATACCAAGGGTTTTCAGGTATTATTTTACTGTGTGTATAGCGCTATCTATGAATCATAAAATTATTACTGTTTTATGTAAGGTTTATTTTGTTTCAGGTCTTTCCTGAGGAGGATATACAGATAAAATGAGTTCATTTGGGCAGCTACTGACCTTATTTCTCTGGAATCTGTGGACACATCTTGCCATGACAATTATCAAGACTGTTTTTTCATGCTTCAACACACTTTTGAGGGTGATGAGAGATTCTTAAAAATGAACACTCAGCAGTGCATTTTGCTATTTGCTTGGTCTTTAAATAAATGTGGTGTTAAGCATTGAGTGATAATAAAACACTTGCAGCACAATAAAATATTATTGTGAAATGTAAAATTTTGTTTAGTAATTGACCATGCAGACTCAGCCATCATCATTATTTTACAAACTCTAAACCAAGGCCCTGTTCATATAGTATTTTTTTGTTCGAAAATGTGTACATTTTTATGTGTTTTGCTCTTGTGCCCACACTTCAACTGTCTAGGTATCTGAGATTACATGAACAGTGGTTCAGCTACACTATGGTATTACTTTTGAACGTGTTGATAGCTTACCCTCTTCTTTTAGTTCTTGTTGAAAACTGACAAAATCATTCTTTAGGGGTTTGCCCAAACCAAAAAGGCTAATTAATGTTTGTAAATACAATCAAACCCCATTAATATGGACACTGAGCGGCGATAGAAAATATCCATGTTAAAGCCAGGGGTGTCCGTATGAATTGGGTTCAATTTAGAAAAAATGCATGGGCTTTCTTTTCCCAGGGACAAAATCAAACTTTTGAAATAATGAGGTCTTTGCATTAAGCGGATGTCTGTAAAGCAGGGTATAACTGTATTATCTATGCTTATCAAAAATTTCGAGAGCCAATGCTGGGGTGACATTCTAAGTGTTACGTAACAGTGTTACACCAGGAACACCCCACAGGTTAGGTACTAAACTTGTTTTACAATTAATCCAGATTTTTTGGAGGGGGTCTCTGGGTGAAAAGGCAGGAAAACACAGGTTAATGAATGCGCCCCCTGATTTAGACGTTTGCTTAAACCTGTGGAGGTTTTCTGCAATCACTTTTCGAGTTGGCTTCTGATCATTAAAGGGGAAGTTCCGATTCTCTTGTTCGGACGAAAATATGAGCAGTTTGTTGAAGACATTCAGTAGTTATTGGGCTGCCCATGAGAGCTATGCCCATTCAAGAACTACCTTCCATCTATACGCCCCTTGCACATCTCCCATAATGCACCTTATTTGCCCCCCAAAATTTTACATAAGCTTTGTTTTTCATTTCTTCTAAGTATTACAGCCTTTCCAAGAGAAATGGAAAACAATGCTTATGCAAAATTTTGGGGAGCAAAAAAGGTGCATTATGGGAGATGTGCTAGTGGCGTATATTTAAAAAAGACAAAATGGCGGGTGGAACTCCCAGAAGGCTTTGCATGTCCCATTCCCCCTTCAATGGGGCAGTTTAGCAAAGTGGTTTGGACGTCGATTTGGAACGAACACAAAATTATTGCGTGGATTTATTGGCCCTTAATGACGCCGAATGGTTATCTAAATATAGTATTCCATTAGGCAGTTAGCCTGCACGGGAGCTGCAGAAACAACGCCTTTCCATGGTCCCCACGGGAAAAGCTTCAACTTTTCCCTGCGTGTGAAAAGTCTTTCCTTTTAAGAATATGCTATTCGTAGATCGCTCTGTCAAATAGAAACTTATTCACTTAAGGTAGAAGGGCTTTAAATGCGATATCCGACAGAAATAAAAATGAAAATTAGTTATTGCTTTGAGTGTTTTAAGAAACAGAAAATTACTGCACTACTCCTGGAATTCCTGGACAACTCATAGGTTTTTTGAAATTTTCTTGATGCACGAGACAAACAAGGAAGGCATTTTAACTGCCGTCTTTGTTTTCAATGTCCGTGAAACTTGGAGGCGATATAAATTGATAAAAATTGATAAATTGGCTAAAATCGAAAGAACCATATAATCGGAGAATTGTCTTTCATATAAGCTTTCTCAATCGAAGAATAGTAAAATTGGAGGAAATCTGTTGTGTTCCATCGGAGAATAGTAACCCAAAATCGGTTATACTATTTTTCTAACCTACGTGTAGCCGCTCCCTACCCCCGACAAACAAAAACGGAGAGGGGGACAAACTATTTTCCGATTTAGCACTTATCGCACCGCTGCTAACATCTTTCGAATTATTTCATCTCTCTCATGTGCCAGCTTCTGCAAACAATTTTACTCACCTCGCAGTGAGTTTATTTACGACATATGAAGATCTCGCACGCGCGTATATAAATGTAAAATTTAATTTTTCTTTCTGTGGCTTAAGTTTTGAAGACACAAAATTCCCGCAAAGTCAGGCAAAGTGATTTTATTAACGTGAAATATGCACATTTCCGCGATTTTACGAAACAAAAGAGTTAAAAGGAGAAAACAATAGTGTGCTACATTCGTTGTCTAGTTTTCCACCTACATCATATCAATGATCATCGTCGTCCATTCTTGGCAACCAAGAGCTGAAGCGCTCTTATAGCCTCTAAGCATGACTGCGCGTAATATGACAGATCTACGAACTTCATTGAACCGGAAGTAAATGTCCCGAGAACAATAGGTATCCGCGAGATTGGTTAATTTTGCTCATTATACTACTACATGAGAAATTTCTGCAATTTGATTGGCTTAGAGCAGTGGTATTTCAGCTTAATTTGAAATACCTACATGTGAAAATTACAAAACATTTGCGTGTAGTAGTATAAACAAATAATAGCATGATTTGTACGTAATATTTGGCATAAATACCACTCGTGATATTTCAAAGTTGTCTCAAATTTCACTCGCCTAACGGCTCGTGAAATTACGTATAACAATTTCGAAATATCACTCGTGGTATTTATGCCAAATATCACTACAAATCATGCTATTACCTATACAATTTCCAGCAAGCAAACTTACGACGTAAATACACACATAGTCAATCAACTACAAGAAATTCTAATGACCGACCAATCATAATCAAGTAATTATGCCCTGTTTTTTCTTTGACGAATTACGAAAATAAAATTCCTTTTCATTAGCCAATCGGAATTAAAGAAATAATGGTTTTTACGTTGTAGTAAATGTAATAATTTTTACAAAGGAGACTATCAGTGCAATATAAGAATACGAATTACAAATGTTCTGTTAGATTCACAAAAAGGTCCCCGAAATGCTCCGTTTGACTTTCCTTTAACACTCAACAACTTTTCTAAATATGACGATTATCATTTTATTCTATAACGATTGTACGTTAAAAGTACCTATTTATATGCTTCTCCTTGTCCTTGTCTCCTTCTTCCTCAAACTCTTCATCATCAACAAGAACAAGATCGTCTAGGTGCACCGTTGTATTAACCGTGCTCACATAGGATAGTACAGTGGTTCCAGAATAGCCAATGCTGTTCTAATTTATATTCAAATTCAAATTAGTTAAGGAGGGTTTGACTGCAAGTGCCTGGGAAAGAGACGCAGCTCCAGAATCACCAATACTGTTCCCACCTCAAATCCAAATTTCTTAAGGAGTTAACTGCAAGAGCCTGGGAAAGAGACGCAGCTCCAGAAGGACCAATACTGTTCATACTCAAATCCAAATTTGTTAAGGAGGAGTTAACTGCAAGAGCCTGGGAAAGAGATGCAGCTCCAGAATCACCAATACTGTTCCTACTCAAATTCAAATTAGTTAAGGACGAGTTGACTGCAAGAGCCTGAGAAAGAGACACAGCTCCAGAATCACCAATACTGTTCAACCACAAAACCAAATTAGATAAGGACGAGTTGACTGCAAGAGCCTGGGAAAGAGAAGCAGCTCCAGAATCTCCAATATTGTTCCCAGTCAAATTCAAATTAGTTAAGGAGGAGTTGACTGCAAGAGCCTGGGAAAGAGACAAAGCTCCAGAACACCCAATTTTGTAGTTCGAACTCAAATCCAAATTAGTTAAGGAGGAGTTGACTGCAAGAGCCTGGGAAAGAGAAGCAGCTCCAGAATCTCCAATATTGTTCCCAGTCAAATCCAAATTAGTTAATGCGGAGTTGACCGCAAGAGCCTGGGAAAGAGACGCAACTCCAGAATCACCAATACTGTTCTCTCCCAAATTCAAATTAGCCAAGGAGAAGTTGACTGCAAGAGCCTGGAAAAGAGACACAGCTCCAGAATCACCAATACTGTTCCTACTCAAATCCAAATTAGTTATGGAGGAGTTGACTGTAAGAGCCTGGAAAAGAGACGCAGCTCCAGAATCACCAATACTGTTCCCACTCAAATCCAAATTAGTTAAGGAGGAGTTGACTGCAAGAGCCTGAGAAAGAGATGCAACTCCAGAATCACCAATACTGTTCTCTCCCAAATTCAAATTAGCCAAGGAGAAGTTGACTGCAAGAGCCTGGGAAAGAGACACAGCTCCACAAGGACCGATACTGTTGAAACTCAAACTCAAATTAGTTAATGAGGAGTTGACTGCAAGACCCTGGGAAAGAGATGCAGCACCAGAAGCACCAATCCTTATCGAATTCAAATCTAAATTAGTTAAGGAGGAGTTGACTGCAAGAGCCTGGGAAAGAGTTGCAGCTCCACAATCACCAATACTGTTCTCCCCCAAATTCAAATTAGTCAAGGAGGAGTTGACTGCAAGAGCCTGGGAAAGAGACGCAGCTCCAGAACCATCAATTCTATTAAGACTCAAACCCAAATTAGTTAATGAGGAGTTGACTGCAAGACCCTGGGAAAGAGACGTAGCTCCAGAACTACCAATTCTGTTCAAATGTAGTTCCAAATTAGTTAATGAGGAGTTGACCACAAGAGCCTGGGAAAGAGACGCAGCTCCAGAATCACCAATTCTGTTCCCAAACAAAACCAAATTAGTTAAAGAGGAGTTGCCTGCAAGAGCCTGGGAAAGAGACGCAGCTCCAGAAGCACCAAATTCGTTGTTCAAACTCAAATCCAAATTAGTTAAGGAGGAGTTGACTGCAAGAGCCTGGGAAAGAGACGCAGCTCCAGGAGGACCAATAAAGTTGTTTCTCAACTCCAAATTTGTCAATGAGGAGTTGACTGCAAGAGCCTGGGAAAGAGTTGCAGCTCCACAATCACCAATACTGTTCCCCCCCAAATTCAAATTAGTTAAGGAGGAGTTGACTGCAAGAGCCTTGAAAAGAGACCCGGCCAGATTTTTTTGCCTCAATTTATCCTTCAAATTCAAATAAGGAATGTGAAGGTGCTCCACTAAGGTGCAAACTAAACTTTCATAGTCTGATAAACATCCTAAATAAAGTACAAAACGCTTTGAAACGTCTTGTGCAGACTGAAGACTTGTGATATTTCTAGCCATATACGTTACGAGGGACTCTGCGGTTTTCTCACTTGTTGAAACTAAAATTCCGATCATAAATAAAAAGACTTGATATAGTTCGTTCTCATATCTTTGGTCAGTCACCACTGATTTGCACTCAATTTCTCCCTCAATGAGTTTGTAAGCAAGATAGAAACCAGCAAAGAACTCCTGAAAGCTCTTATGAAGAAATGCATAACGCACAACAACTTTCCTCTTACTGCCACCAGCCTGAAGTGAAAGGAATCCGAACTTGGATAAGACAATGAGGCCACCATCAGATTTATGTTTTTCAAAATACAACTCTCCTTTTAGAAGAGATTCTAATGCCATTCTTCCAAGATCTATTAATTCATTTTTGTAAACGGTCATTAGATCTTCATTCTTGCTCGCTAAACCTTGCTTTTGTTCATATCTTCTTAAAACACAAAGAACAATCTCCGTGTACAATTCAGTTCTGCTCGTTGGAATTACGCCCTCAAAATCCTCACAAATAACACACAGTAAGGCAGTGTTTAAGGGATTTTTTGTCAATTCACTCAGGTCTCTATCCTGTTGTGGCTCAGATCGAGAGGGCACATGCCATATGCTCAGGTCTCTATCCTGTTGTGATTCAAATATGCTTTCTATAAGTTTCCTGGCTAAGTGCTCTTTCTTGATGTTTTTAAAGTATTTAAGAATAAAGCTTTCTGCATCTTTCTTGGTAAATCCTTCGATTTCCCACAGAGTGTCAAAGTACCTCCTTACTTTACTTCCAGCCTCATGACGAGATGTGACAACAATGAGGCAACCTGAAAGTTCTTTACCTTGAATAAGACTGGAGAGTACTTTGAGGCTACTAGGATCCACTTCATCCAATCCATCGAGAACTAAAAGAACTTTCGACTGATTTTCGCGAATGAATTTAAAGAAACATTCCTTAGCTTGATCTTCCATTTCCACGGGTAAAATTTGATCATCAATAGCCTCCCAGATGTTTGATTGAATTTCATTACATTTGAGAAGCAATAGCACTTCAATTTCTGGAAAAGATGGATCCCATTTGTCCTTCTTAGTTGCCCAATCATACGCCAGCTTTTGACAGTATGTGGTTTTTCCCATGCCAGGATCTCCCTCGATCAAGATTGTTCTCGGGCTTTGACATTCTGCGTGCGCCTTAAAGATAGCAGTCATATTGGTTATCTCGTCAGTAAGTACTCCTTGGGTCTTTTCTTTTCCCAAGATTTTTAATCTTGTAAAAATATCATTCAAATGAAAGCTGAAATCTTCACACCAAGGGACAGGCAGCAGGCGTTGTTCACGAGTTGTATACAGTTGACGGATCCTCTCAAAAATGTCGTTTGGGTATGACAAATCTAAACAACAATATTCATACACGCTGATTAAACGTTATCAAGTATTTGACTTGTTAGTTTGTATATTATGGAGGGCGCATGATTAGGTAATATATCAAACATGAGATGCAGTGTTTCATCACCAGATGAAACACCGAGAAGAGAGTTGAAAATACGACGCGCAGCGGAGTATTTTTGACGAACTTCAACAAAATCATTTTTGAAGGAGAAATTAAGGATGCAAATACTAAGCAGTGTTTCATCCGATTTCCAAACACTCATTAAACATTAATTTCCTTTGTATTTTCTTAATGAATTGTTAATGAGTTTGAGAAGGAAATATGACACACTTTCAGAAGTCAAGGCTGTGCTTTAAGGAAAATTGAAGGGTCCCTAATGCTCTGAACCTGTAAAATCTACGGTGCCCAGCATATGATTTGTATGAAAAGACTGAAATTTTCTAGTCGTCCAGGAGCAAAAGTTGGGCGCCAGAGAACAACGGGCTTTGCTAGAGCACAACCCAGGAAGTACTTTGCGATTCTATTAAAAAACGCATGGAAATTCGGGGGTGGAAGCGGAATCATTTGTCCTTCGTTGTTTATGATTCCTGCCTTTTTTACCCAATGATTCATGATTCATTCACATTTTTTCCGAGATTCATGATTCATTGTTTTACGTCTCCGCTTCCACCCCCGAATGGAAGTATCCTGACCTCGACTTCACTGCAGCACTGGAATTAACGGGATATAGACCCGACATAACCTTACGGTTACCTAAATTCGATTGTGGTCACATTCCTGAGAATTTCATAAGCCAAGTCAAGCTTGTGTTTGCCGAAAGTCCGAATCAATGAAAGTTCTTTTAGTTGCAGCATACTTATGTTGCATAACTCTGAGGTTCAAACAACGACGTCAGCAGTGAGAAAGGAATGTAAACACAAGAGTTCATCTTGATGGGTTGACAAACAAAGCCATAAGTCACCTAAATCGTTAACATCTAGCGCCAAAAGGCACGCGAATCCTTTAATTGTGGTCTACCTGCCTCGGTAGCAACACAGCCTCTGGAGACGAGATTGGTACCCTGAAAGGGTATCTATCGCATATTTGAAGCGGTACAATTCGCCCTTTTTTTTGGGGGGGGGGGGGATTTAATTACAGAAGGTTTGTGGTTAAGGTGCATATCATGAACTCGTACCTGTACATCTAAAAGCCTTATGATCTTCCATGGTCCTTCTTCGTTTTGCTCCGATTTCGTCCTTCTCCATCATGTACCCTTCATTACTCCTCTTATTCCGTTGAAAAAAATACTCATCTGGCAAAAAAAAAAATAGTAAACAACGGCCATTAGATCCTCACAGTTATATTCACTGAGGCGGGAGAACCGTCCGTCAGTCGATAAAAAAGCATTCTCTACCACTGTCTTTTTAATTTGTACTGTTAACAGTACATGATGGGTTAGAAGGTCAATAATGAACCTTTGACAACTGACATAATCTTAGATAACGTACGGATCACCTAGCAATAACACAGTACCAAAATTGCAAATCATGAAAGTGTATACGTCCATAGAAATGGAGTCATGAAAGTGACATGCCAATATTCTATTCTAAACCGAAAGCGCTGATTTTCACAATAAATACACATTTTTTCTTGGACAAGTTGAGTAATGGACATTACAGTCCGCCACTCCTGGAAATAGAAAATCTTTGAATACCTTTTTGTTCCCTTTACGGTATCACTCGGGAAAAAAATCTAGGAGCCGAGCGCCTTAAACTTGTAATTTATAAAGGGTAACATGTGTTCACCAGACACCATGAATAAACTCTTCTTATTACAATAATCATCTCTCAGTGTAAAATCGCAAAGCCAATATTAGCTTACGATTCCAGTCACTCCGTATAAAGCGTGGATATTTTACTGTGAACTGCTTCAAACTCGCCTGTTTGACATCACACTCACTTTCATTAAGCTAAACGAGTGACACTTTGTTGCATCCGCAAATCTGAAAAATATCTGGCTGAATAGGATCTAACTCCTATGAGTATAACTACGAAATTGAAGTGAGGCAAAACTATTAAAATTTCAGAAGGAAATGATTTTTCCTCATTACAAAAAGGCGATTACAATATTAAGAAACTCATTGGGATGATTTGTAGAAAGGAAATCCATGCAAAAGCAGTTAGCAACTCTCACTTCTCTTGAACACAAACGCCACACCGCAGTGCAGAGGGCTGATATCTGGAGCACATTTTCCACCAGTAAAACAAACCTGGCTGATTGCGACAGGGAAGAGACTAGTATTGTACCTTTTCTGGGCTGAAGGCTAACATAGTGAAACTCATGAATGTGTCCCAACACAAGGGGGTTTGGGTCAGCAACTGCGTGTTCTGGATAGACAACTATTTCACGATCAAGGCTGCTGATAATACGGATGGAAGTTTGAAAGTGATTTGCTGCAGCAAGAAGAACAACATGATCACCCCATGTACCATCTTTTGCCATGCTTTGTAAATATTCAAGCCAAGATGGGTAGCTGCAAACAAAGTTGAACAAGGATGTTCCATCATGCTAAAAAAAAAAAAAAATAAAACAACAACAACAACAATCAAGCAATTAGTGGATTTTTAAAAGCTTTTAGCTGATTAATCAGAATACAAATGGTGTGAATTTTGAGTTAACTGACGACAACAACAGGTCAGAAAATACTGCAAAAAATACATATTTCAGGTACAGCCAACTATATAAACACCGAAAATACTTTTTCACTTTGATGATGGGTGGTCTTTCAAAAGAAAAACTTTCATGTATGGTGCACACATTCTCAAGTGATTACCCTATTTAAGAAATTATTCCTAACGATATATTGACATATTAAGTTAAAAAAGATGCTCTAACACACTTTCCCCTATTTCAGAGATGCTCGCCCTCAGGAATTTAATATCTGAACATCGTCTCTTTTTTTTGCAGTACACCCTTCCCCTTAAGTTACAGGTACAAATCAACAAAGTTCCCAAATTATAATATGGTATGGCTCAGGATATTATCAAATTCAATTTATAGTCTTGGAGTTTATAGGAGACACTAAAGGCCCCTGCCCTTTTTTTTTTCTCAGGATGAAGTTAAGCATACAATTGAGGGAGAACATCATCGCCTTACCAGAGTAGCATTCTCTCTGAGAAACTGGACCAAAGTGTTTCTTACTTCTTTGTGTGAGATTTGGATTCCTTTAACACTATTCAGTTGCTCTGACAGTGCATAGAACAAACAGTTCCCAGATGCTTGGTTATCAGAAATTAAGAATCCTTTCTTCGCTGCAACCGTTCTCAGATTAGATGGTAGGTTAGTTTTGTTGCAAACCTGGTCTGCATCACATCGCAAATTTTCTAAGGACGGAAGGATGTTCTGAGCTGGAAAAAAAGATAGTTGTTTTTACATTTTCAATACGTTTGATAGGTGTGCGCTGTGGCAAATTTTATGGATTAATTTCAAGGGGCATAATAGACTTTCTCAAAGTCCTTTGCTTCTTGTTTCTGGTTCCAGAAGTAGTGTCTCACTTTGCCAGCAAAAACATAAAAAATTTCTAGCTCGCTCTTTGCGCTTAAGAAATATTTTGAGCTTGACATGAGAACAAGTATTTGACTTGTTACACAGTAGCTTGCTTATTACGGTGGGCAATAAGGGAAATAATTTATGATTCTGTTTTGAATCCAACTGAAAAAATATGAAAATATCCTGATGTCAGTTTCGTTGCAGCGCTAAAGTTAGTGGAATGTGGACCCAGTACCACCTCATGCTTCCATGCAACAAGGAAAAGCTAAACACAGGTTATCAAAGGCTTCATCTTTAAGCCTTGCATTTAACTCACATTAATCAATTACTGTGGGCAACAAGAGGAGCACAGTTCTAATCTACAGGTCGAAATTATGTATGCACAGCGCTTATGTAGCCAGCTTCTAACAGCTACATTTGGACTCCACTAAAAATGAATGGAACACACAGAACTGGCACTCCAATCACATGTGTTTTGACTACCTATCACGTGAAACTTGCGTAAAGCACGGAATTGAAGAAAGACTGAGAGCGTGGTAACTTTGAATTGCTGTCGCCCACACTCATTGATTATTACTAGTTAAATGTATACCTGAAAGAATGCTTACTAAGATTTCTGTTATTTTTAGGAATCAAGACTGCTGAGCAAGGGCAGCCAAGATGCTCTGAATCTTTGAGACACCCAATTCAATTGAGGTTGCTTTGACAACTGGTCATTGGTGATTGGGCATTGGGTATTTGGGCATAGAGAACAATTCGATGATTTGCTTGAGTGACCACCAAACAATAGCTTCCCAGTGCCCAATTACCAATGCCCAAAGCGACCTATTATTGACTCAGCTATATAACAGCAAGATCAATGCATGCATACTACTAAAGCTAACCTGACTGTTTAAATTCGCTTTCGAGTTCATTCAGATTGTCTTTGATATCATCCTCCACTTTCTTCCACTGCTTTAGAAGTTCCCTGAAATGTTCTTCCTCCAGAGGGTCCATTTCCTGATCCCTTATTTCGTCAATGGCATCTCCATAATGGGCTCCTCCCAATCTCAACAAAGTGTCACAAATCTGCTGCCAGTAGTTACTGAACACAGCATCATTGATGAAGCCGTCTCCAGCATGTTTAGACACAGCATTCATGAAACACCTAACACGGACAATGTCGGACTCACGACTGGTGTCTGCTGTGAGAGGAGGTGTGTCCCAGCCAGCGGGTGGAGGATTCAGATTACAGATTGTCCTTAAGAGCACTATCAAGAGGGGGATATCAAAGCTTGCAGATGTCACTTCAGAGGATGAAGAAGGATACAATTTACTCCACTGGAGTAAGTTTAACACCCCTCGCTTTCGAAGTAACAACAGTTTAGAGTGTGCTTGATGTTTCAAACACCTTTGAAGACTCTGTGGTGGAATTATTTTGTCAAAGGTTGCCCTGAGTGCCTTTGAACCCAAGGTGATTAGAAGACGACATAAATGGGGATAATTTAATCCCTCATTAGTGCAAGCAAAGTGAGTTGATTCAGGATCTATAAGGCAGAATGACAAAAATTCATTAATCAAAATTTACACTTTTTTATGGTTGCTATAAGTAATTAACCATTGCCAAATTCTACAAGCTTTTTAACTACAGGGATTGTGCAGACTTATTCCAAAACAATACTTTACTTTTCCAGATAATTTCAAGGTTAACAAAATTAATAGGTGATCACTTAAACACCTTGAAAAACACCGGATCCAAGCTTTTTTCATGATGTACTGAAAACATGGTAAACAAGGTGCATTAATTTTAATGTGGACATTATTGTGATTAAATGTCTTCAGTACAGGGGAGACTGAATGGAAATTGACCACAGGGAAAAAATCACTTATTAAGCAATTGTTGTATAGCTATGAAAAAAAGGTCCAGAGTTTTTACTATTTTTCCAGAGACTTTTTTTCTATTTTTCAAGACCTTTTCCAGGTGTTACGGGTTATGGGTTTAATTGACAACCCTGCAAATGGCAACTGGAATTAAGGCTTTTACCTCTTAACATACCATGACACTACCATGGGTCTACCATAATATTTTGTATTACTAGGTGTCTAA